CGCCTGGTGACCAGGACTTTGGGTTTAGGGGTCCGGTTGGTGGCCTCCGGGGGGGGAATCTGAGGGGGGAAAACGAGAGTCAGAGGTGGGAAAATGATGACTCAGCAAAAAAACAAAAAAACATCACATTTCTGTTCAGGAAAGGTAAGTTATGGTTAGGGTTAGAGTTTCACAGAGAATTTGAAAGCAGAAAAACAAGAAAAAAATAAATAAATAATGATAATAATAATTAAAAAAAATAATAATAATAATAAAAAAATAATAATAAAAAAATATATTAAAAATAATAATAATAATATTAATAATAATAATATATAATAATTAATAAAAACATCAATCAATAACAGTAATTATTAAAATAATAATAATTATTATTATAAATTATCATTATTATTATCATTAGGAATCTGAGGGGGGAAAACGAGAGTCAGAGGTGGGAAAACTGACGACTCAGCAAAAAAACATCACATTTCTGTTTGGGCAAGGCAAGTTTATCAAAAACAACAAAACAATTCAAAGGGCTTCACAGAGAATTTAAAAGCAGAAAAACAAGAAAATAAATAAAATAAAATAATGATAATTAAAAAAATTATAAAGTTAAAAATATAAAATAATAAATAAAAATATTAATTCATACTAATAATTATTAAAATTATCATTAATATTATTATTATCATTCAAAATTATTATTATTATTATTATTATCATTTTCAGAATGGCGTTTTTCACGTAAAATCTGTGTAAACTGGGTTCTGTCACCAATGTATTTGTCTTTGTATATTTTGATAGTTTGATCTATTTTTATTACCGTAAAGCACTTTGGTCAGCTTCGGTTGTTGTAAGGTGCTATATAAATAAACATTGATTGATTGATTGATTGATTGATTATCTAAAAATAATCAAAATTAAACAGATGAAAAGTGAAGGGTTCAGATCAAATCCATCCTGTTTCCATCCTCAGAGTTAAACAGAAGCATTTTCATCTGGATTCAAACATCCAGAGTCTGTCTCACATCTTCAGGAAGTCTGATCCAGATTTTAAGAACCTGGAGCTGAAATGAAGCTTCACCTGGTTTATTTAACTCCTGTTAACTAAACCAGACAGAGCTTTTCGGATCTAAGACTGAACCAGGAGCTTCTTTTCTCACAGACTGTTTACTTCTCCTGTTTATGTCTTTATGTGTTTGCAGCTCAGCATCCTACCAAAAGGTCTCCTGCACACGGAAAAAACCAAACCCAGAAACAGGGAGAGTTTTTATGGATCACAGCTGGTTCGACTCGAGTCATTTCCTCCAGCTCCAGGAGTTCCAACGTCTTATTATAAAGTGTCAAAAATAGGAGTGCGTTCATGTCCACTGAGCTTCTTTCTCCTTCAGAAACCTTATTAAATATGATACATTTGGCATTTTCAGGTTAAGACCCCCAAAACAGCTTTAAAAGCACAAAAAACAGCTTTAAAAGCCCCCAAAATAGCTTCAAAACCCCTAAAAAAAAGCTTTAAAGGCCAAAAAATAGCTTTAAAAGCCAATAAATATCTTTAAAAGCCCCCAAAACAGCTTTAACCCTTTAAAGCCTAATCCAAGAAAAATAGGAAGAATATTGGATTTTTTTAGTCTGAAGTCTTTCTTTGGCCCCTCAACAACATATGAAGAAAAAAAACAGAAATTATTTTGATCAAATTAGCATGCAATAAGTCAGAAATCTATGTTGGTGTAGTCTTCTACTGGCTGTTATCAGGTATATCTGAATGTGTACAACAGGGGTTTGAGCAAAGCTTTTACCACTGAATGATGCAGAAAGTCTCACATCCAAAAGAAACCGGATCAGATATGACACATTTGGCTTCTTAGGGTTAAGACCCTCAAAATAGCACAAAAAACAGCTTTAAAAGCCCTAAAAAAAAACAGCTTTAAAGGCCAAAAAATAGCTTTAAAAGCCCCAAAAAACAGCTTTAACCCTTTAAAGCTCCAAGAAAAATAGGAAGAATGTTGTATTTTTTTAGTCTGAAGTCTTTCTTTGGCCCCTCAACAACATATGAAGAAAAAAAAAAACTGAAATTATTTTGATCAAATTAGCTTGGACCTTTAAGGGAACCAACAACCCAAAAGACGAGTCTGTGGACCCTTAAAGATACAGTTTGGTGCTTTCTTCATCAGTGATATAAGCTTGAGCAGAAAACTGCTCCCGTTATTGTTCCGGAGGCCGATCATTTCCAGGTGTGCACATACATGAGCAAATAAAAACCAACGGTCCGGAACAAAGTACTTATTCTGACAGCTTAAGACCCGTAGACCACCATAATTTACATTAGAATCTATTAAAGCTGCAGAAGAGAACATATTCAATAATGTTTCAAACCAAATTCAATTCAAATAAGGACACAAACTGGTCACAGTTTAACCCTGTAATGCCAAATGTATCATGTATCATGTAATAATTCCTTATGACTAGATTTTGTATATAATTTTGTATATTGAAGTGGACATGTTAAGAGCAATTTGGAAAAAAGAAATATAAAATATGATAAAAATACTTTTTTGTGTTTATTTGATTCCTATTCAAGACACTTAACCCTGTAATGCCAAATGTATAATATGTGATACGGTTTCTGAAATATTTTGTGTCTGACACCTTTTGCATAATTTAATGGTAAAAACTTTGCTAAAAATCCTATTGTACACAATCAGATACACCTGTTAACAGGGGGCAGAAGATACACAAAAAATAATCTGGACTTATCGCATAGTAATAAATCATTAATATCAAAAATGTATTTCTGTTTTTTTCTTTTTACATATTTTGTTAAAAGGCCAAATAAGGAATTCAAACCAAAAAACAGTAATTTTCTGTTGTGTTTTATTCTTGGATCAGGCTTTAAAGGGTTAAAGCCAAACTTTAACAAAAATGAACCCAATCTGTGTATTAACTTTTTGCTTTTTGTTGAATTAACCAGTTTCTCTTTCTTTTACTTCAACCAAAAAGTGTCTGTTATGCTGGTTATTGAACTATGAAACATGGATTTTTATGACATTAATTCACCTCCAGCTAAAGAGCTCCATAAAGAAAAGGCTGAATCATCAAAGAACGACTGGAGGACTTCAAGGTTATTTTTCCTTATTAACTCATTGACTGCCAGAGTTTTTTGAGCATTTTGACTGATTTTTCTAGAGCCACAGAATAGTTTGTGCTATGACTATGTAAACACCGAACACA